ATCTCATCTAGGTTTACCCTTCTTAATTCCAAAAGTCCAAGTAGAAATTACTATCTGCCAGCCGGGGTTCAGAGCTGCTTTTATTTAACTCTCAAATAAATTCCACTAAATCTAGACTGTTGCAGCATTTTTTTTGGTGTATGATAATTTAGAGGCTTTACAAATTCCATAATAGGAGAGGTCATGGCTGAAGAAGCTTGGTGTATTGTATTACATGGTGATTAAGTTTGACATGTTAGTTCTATGTATTTTTTTATTATGGGATTTGGTGTTCCTGCCTTATATTAGACTTATTTGATAATAGGGACTCGTAGAGGAAACATTGAATGTCTTTATTTAGGGTCCCAAGATTTTTTGATTTGGGATTAGACCCATGGTATTTCAAATTAGCTCTTAGTCACTATTTCAAATCTATACAATAAAAATTAAGAGCTAATTTGAAATACCATGGGTCTAATCCCAAATCGAAAAATCTTGGGACCCTAAATAAAGACATTCAATGTTTCCTCTACGAGTCCCTATTATCAAATAAGTCTAATATAAGGCAGGAACACCAAATCCCATAATAAAAAAATACATAGAACTAACATGTCAAACTTAATCACCATGTAATACAATACACCAAGCTTCTTCAGCCATGACCTCTCCTATTATGGAATTTGTAAAGCCTCTAAATTATCATACACCAAAAAAAAAAAAATAGCTGCAACAGTCTAGATTTAGTGGAATTTATTTGAGAGTTAAATAAAAGCAGCTCTGAACCCCGGCTGGCAGATAGTAATTTCTACTTGGACTTTTGGAATTAAGAAGGGTAAACCTAGATGAGATGATGTCCAAAAACTGAAAAGAAGCAGACGTCTAGAAGTTATAACACAGGGTATCTGTCCACTGCCAGTGTTTCATTTCTTGACAGTGAAAAGGTCAGTGAACCTCAGTCCCTAAAGACCAGAAGGACCACACTAACATTTTCTGAAGCCAGACAAATAGTCCAGCATCCCACAATAGCTACTTGCTTTCTCAGCAGTGGTAAGACATTTCACATAAATGGACATTCACTGATGACAGTCATAAGAACATAAAAATGGCCACACTGGGGGAATAAACAGAACAGGGCAATCATTGAGTGATCCATCCCATCATCCAGTCCCAGCTTCTGGCAGTCAAGAGGGTTAGGGACACCTGGAGAATGGAGTTGCGTCCCTGACCACCTTGACTAATAGACATTGATGGACCTATCCTCCAGGAATTTATCTAATTCTTTTTTGAACCCAGTTATACTTTTGGCATTCTCTGGCAAAGAGTTCCACAGGTTGACTGTGAATTGTGTGAAGTAGTACTTCTTTCTGTTTTAAACCTGCTGTCTATTAATTTCATTGGGTGACCCCTGGTTCTTGTGTTATGTGAAAGGGTAAATAACACTTCCCTATTCACTTTCTCCACACCATTCATGATTTTATAGACCTCTATCATATTCCAACTCCCAACACACACACACACACACACACACTTAATAGTCTCTTTTCTAAGATGACCATTCCCAGTCTTTTTTAATCTCGCCTCATATGGGAGTTATTCCATACCTCTACTCTAACTTTTCCAATGCTAATTTTTTTTTTTTTTTTTTTTTTTGTAGATGAGGAAACCAGAATTGTTGGCCATACAGCAGCACAGATCAGCCTATATTGTCAGACCATCCGAGTTCATACAATGGTGTAGGAAAAAGCAACGGCCTTGCTGTCCAAATGTCTACCAGATCCTTCCATACACACACCAGAGCAACTTAACCTCATTGTACCTGCTGGCAGCTCTCCACAAAGGAACAGGGTAAATCTAAATCTAAATCCACCACCAATCCGTCACTGTCCATCCAAATGGCTGCAGTGCATATCATCCCAGCCTTTTAATAGAATTAAGCTATAGGGAGCATCTCTTGGAGAAAGCTCTCAAGCATTCATCCAAGTTGAATAGCCTGCTTCCTCAGCTCAGCTCTAATATCAGGGATGGAAATTTCCTATACAGGACATCTAGAACTTAACAGGCATCCCTCCAGCCATCTTGTTCATCTGCAGGTGGGAAATATTTTTCAGTAGATAAGTTACAAGTCAGCACAACTCCTCCATAAATTTGAACAAATCTTTTAACAACTCAAACACACATTTTTGGCTCCTGAGTCATTAAGAGAAACGGGAGGAGGGCACAATATCAAACATTTATCTTTCCTCCTGTAGGACCAGTTCCACTTCAAAAGATAAAATTTCATAAGATGACATTTTAAAACCTAAAGGAGTCCCTTCTTTCTTCCATTCTCTATGCCATCAAATTATATATTTATTTTACATAAAATTTTGGACTTAGGAGCCAAATCCAGTATCCTTCAAAGATCATTCAGGTATTTTCTTTGAATTCTGTGGAGATACAAATAGATTCAGCAAGACTAAAACTTAGCCTAAGAAGCTTGGGTGAGAACACAAAATATTCCATTACTTATTCAAGAAATTCTGCCACATGACTTTATGCTCCACTGTTCTCAAGAATCCTATCAGATTTGGTCACTTATGTTTCCAGCAATGTTATGATCATATATTTCTCATTATTGAGAGAGATATGATATGATCCTGATAGCTTTGTCCAGGTGAGAAGGGATTTATACCTACTTCATCTGAATGAGCTACCAGTGAACACTGTGGTAAAAAGGAAACTATTTTTGACCAAGCCCAAATAGTTCAATAAATGCACCAACAGCAATCTATAACTTTAGGAAACAACTCATCACCATGCACATTTGTTGGTATCGTGTCTGGATATTCTCCATCTTGGAGATTATTTTAAGAAAAAAACTGGTTATTCGCCAAGTAGGAAAATTTCTAGGGACCCAATTTTTCATCTTTTCCTTATGTTCTGCTCAGGTAGCTATCTCCCAACATCACTAATTCATACTCACTATGATGTAATACAAATACATCAGCCATTGCTGCACCTCTAAATCTTCCACATTTCTTCCTTCTGAACAATCAGAACTTAAAGGAACACATTATTTTATGTTCCACTATCCAAAGCAATAAGCAATGTCACTGCAATTATGTTTCACAAGTTTCCCTAGAATCAATGTATTCTTCACACTGAAAATGAGAACCAAGTATGTGTGTCATATATAAATTGCTAGGGAGGAACAAAATAAAAATCTAATTAACTAGGCTATCAGGATCTTTTTACGTTCTGGAGATTCACAGCACTTTATTAGAACATAAAGTCCTAGGCAAGATTCCAAACTAGCTCACTTGCCATGAGTTGCGAGCTAGTGGCTGAACCAGGACACCCGATCACGCCTCTACCAAATGGTATTCTCCTTTACATTGCTTTGTTTTACTTATTAGTAATGTATTCAATAGAGTCTCCTTACTTTGCCACCAACAAACAACATGACTAGATTTTTTAAACTAGGTCATGAAAGCAAGCACGCATACATAAGAAAAACAAAAGCATTCATTAAAGGTGACCTGAAAAGGAAAAACAAATTGGGCTTATACCCCTTTTTTGCTTTTTTTATGATGTTTAAAAAATGTCTGAAAGTGTTTTCTACTCCTCTTTTTTTAACGTTAAAAATTCAAGTCAACTCTTATATTATCTAAAAGACTATGGCGATTAAAGTACTAGTGAAATATGACAACAATATACAGGAAGCTGAAAATTGCATAATTGAGGGGGAAAGGGATTTTCTACTCTGATTTTAAAATTGTTTTGTTTTTTAAACACATATTTAACTCTAATGAACACTTTAAAACAAAACAAAAAAAGGCACTTCCATGCTTGACAGGTGTGGAGGAATAACCAGCTATAGTGGATCATGGAACACCGGGTGCCCATAATGGAGAAAGGAACAATATGTGGAAGTTTCAATACCATATCCTTATCCACCTCTACCCCTGATATAACGCGGTCCTCGGGAGCTGAAAAATCTCACCGTGTTATAGGTGAGACCGCATTACATCTGGATAGGGAGAGGAACCGCTTCCCACCCCAGCTCACCTCCACTCTGCCTCCTTCCTGAGCATGCCGCTGCTCCGCTTCTCCCTCCTTCCAGGCTTGCCACGCCAATCAGCTGTTTGGCCTGGCAAGCCTGGAAGGGGGGGAGGGGAGGAGAGAGAGAGAGAGCACTCAGGGGAGGAGGCAGAGATGAGCTGGAGCGGTTCCTCCGTGCCCCCCGTTACTTGCTGCGGCCCTCCCCGGGACCCCCCGCCCACCTCCGTTCCACCTCCTCCCACGAGCGCACCACAGCTCCGCTTCTCCCCCCCCACTCCCAGGCTTGCCGCGCCAATCAGCTGTTTGGTGCGGCAAGCCTGGGAGGGAGGGAGAAGCGGAGCTGAGCGGCGTGTTCATGGCAGGAGGCAGCAGCAGCGGCGGAGCGGAGGGGAGGGGAGCCGGGGCAGGGAGCGGTTCCTCTGTGCCCCCCCCCCTTATTGCTGAAGCCCCCCTGCTCCAGCTCACCTCCGCCTCCTCCCATGAGTGCACGACAGCTCCGCTTCTCCTCCCTCCCTCCAGGCTTGCCACGCCAAACAGCTGATTGGCACGGCAAGCCTGGGAGGGAGAGGGAAGAAGCGGAGCTGCCGCGCAATTGTAGGGAGGAGGTGGAACGGAGGTGAGCTGGGGAGGGCCACAGCAAGTAACTCGGGTGCAGAGGAACCGCTTGCGGTAACACAAATTTGGCTATAACGAGGTAAAGCAGCCTCATGCCCGGGAGCGCTGCTTTACCGCGTTATATAGGACC